TTGCTTACGACTTAGCAGCATCGCATGTGACAGTTTTCAAACATTTACGGGACATTGGAATGTCGCAATAACTTGATAGGTGGGCGCCGCATGAATTAAATTAAAATCAAGTTATATTTCCATTTCACACTCGGTCCTTGTGATCGGAATGACTGAGGTTCACCTCAAGTGAACCGAGGTCTCAATAGAGGTTACTTGCAGAAACCCAACCATACAGCGGATTCTCCAAGTCCAACTTCGAATTCGTTTCCGCTGTTTGAAGCGTTACTCGCGGATCTCCGTGGCATAGTGTTTATGGCGTTAACCGTGAACCGCTAGGCTCTGATTTGCACCCTAGCTCAAGCTATTTCAACTTGATGAGTCCAAACCAGGACGAAACCGCGGTCGTGGAGTGCCAGTGTTGGGGTGAGCAACACCAAAATATTTACATTTCACATTCAGTCATTGTGATCGGAATGACTGAGGTCCACCTCAAGTGAACCGAGGTCTCAATAGAGGTTGCTTGTAGCAGCCCAACCACACGGCGGATTCTCCAAGTCCAACTTTAAACTCCATACTTCTGCAATCTGTGCACTTAACTGTGGCAGCTAATCACACCGACTCACCTGTGCGTGATAAAATTGACCCACATATCCATCACCAGTTCACTCATATTTGTGTCGTGGGGGTAGAAGTATGTCTGAGATGCCCATTTAGGATCGACGTGTTGACCGTAAAGTGCTTTCCAGAATGCACTGTCCATAAACGGAAACCCGAAGAGGAACGGCTGTTCAGCTCCGTGATAAACGCCTATACAAATACGGACAAAATGAATACATCTTGAGGTATTATCGAAACGGATAAGCTTTTGGGACACCACAATGGAAAGTGGAGAATGAAACAGCGTTTACAATTATCTCGGAAAACGAATAAGTTGAAGTATTAGAACCAATGAATAAATATTTGACGACTAATGCTGTGGGTTCCTTGCACGGAAACATACCGGATATGGGAAGCGGTACCACGCAGCAGACCAGAATTTTGATACTTATAAAATTTGACCAAACAACAACGTTCGAACAATAAACCTTCGAAAGGATACAACCAACGACTGCTCTAGGGTTCATTCCGAAAATCTGAAATCTTGATGATCACGAATAAAGCCTGCGTATAAGGAGCTATCGATGGAGGTCCTGGAACCCATTTATTCGCAGTTGGCCATCGACTGAAACATGCTGACCTTCGGTTGCATGCTTTATTGGGCCCTCTGGGAAAGGGCGCTCAATTCGACTGGCCATCATTTTAACATTTGACGTCTATGCATAACTTGCTCTGTCAAAAATATGCCACAACCAAAACGTTGTGTGGAAGGTACCATCGCTCCAGCCTAAACTGAAACAGGGACAGCCACACCTTAACCCGTGAAACCTGAGTACAATCAACATATGCCCAGCATATTCAATACCGTTGGGAGGGGTTGATTATTGTATCTAAGTTACTATCCACTTTTGTCGCGAAACCAACTTGCCATCTTATTTAGTCAGATGCATAATTCTGAGAACATAATGAAATACGTATGCAGTGGGGCTAGCACAGGTCATTGGAACCGAACGAACGTTTTATCAGCCGACAGCACTCTTCGCCATAAAGCTGAGTGTTACTCAGCCTTAAAAAATAGTCGGACTCGCAACTTACTTGGAGCACCACTCAAACACAGCAGGTCTGTATTGTGAGTGTACTATAGAACTATACTATTCAGTAGTGTAAACTCAAGCAGAACACAAAGTAAACATTCACTGTTCTCCACCCGTGAGCCACGAGTGTCAAGGACCTAAGCACAGCAACAAGCAAGTGATGTCGGTCATGCGAAGTACTGAACTTACCCGTTTGTGGGTTTCTTGTGGTGTCATTCGGGCTGACATATGCAAATTCGTAGAAATATACTTGATCAGAATGCTCAGCGTGCAGTCGAAGGGATGTGATCAGTGGGGCGTTGACTTCGTAGTCCGAAACGAGCTGCGTGTCAAGGTCGAACAGCAGATTTCAATCAATTCGTTAGGGTGAACATTTCATTGTCTACGAAACACACTTTGGATTAAATAATGAAAAATGGGCGCACAGTCTAGTAACCGTTGGTTGCGGAGTTGGTTTCTTACAACCAAGTCATTGCTTCGAATTCCTCAAATGATAAACGAATCATGCCCAGCAATCTCGGAGTGGATCACCGCAATCGGCAAGGGCGAGGTTCCTTTGCTATGATTGTAGTGAGCTAAGTAATGAAAGGTACGAAGCGAGCTTGAGGCCAGCCATCTTTTTTGTACTAAAGCCGGCTCCTTCGAGGTAGGACGCAATTCAGCTCGAAAGAGTAGATTACCAGAGGGGCTAGAGTCGACTTACGAATGCAGAAAGATGCGTAGAATGGTCGTCGAGGTATGCGACCCTAAACACAGGTCTTTAGGACTTCGCTGAGTTCCACACCAGTTGGTCAACCAGTATCATAGCGCGCACCGCTGCTGTTAGTGTAATTCAAACATGCGGCTCTAATAGATGCACAAACATCGTTCATCGTCATGATACGCGTTAGCTAGAGGTGGAAAACACCTCAGCTACTGTGTCGCAATACATAAGAAGAGAACAATAAAGATACAGGCCAGCTGAACTACCTACCAGTAACGGATGGGCATCGTTCCGGAAAACTACCGGTTGGCTACTATGCAGCAAAAAATTTGTTATGCAAAATTTATATTATGCTGAAGTGCGATCGTGGTTGGAGGGGGAGGCTAAGTAGGAGAGGGTAGGAAAAAGAAACTCACCACACAAACACCACTGATTTCGGCTCATCACCATGTCAACAAGTGTATCCAACCAAACGTATTCATCGCCTTTCGGACTCCAACCAGGGAGCCGAAAGGCTCCAACCGAGGCCAACATCGAAGTAAGGACCTCCGTTCCTCTTGACCACCTTGGCCAATTCTCCTCTTCTTCCATCCAAACCTCCGGTGCGTAAAAAGCTCAGATCGCGGGAGTCGGTGGGTTAGCATGCGCAACACGTGGCCCAGGCATCGGAGACTCGTGCGTGACATAACAGTGCTAAGCGGTTCATATACTCATTGTACACACGGCGTTCCCACTAGATGTGAGCCAAGCTACGAAGGCAATGGTGGTCGAACGTAACTAGCCTCTTTATGTCTGCTGATCTAAATGGCCGGGTTTCACAATCGTACAGTAGGGTAGAACGCACGACTGCATTGTACACTCCTCAGGGCGAAAGGGATGTCGCGCCGGTGCCATAGGTGGCAAGGGTTAGCTAAAGAGCTGGTGCTTTTGCCATACCGTTTGTGATCTCGTCTTCGATTCCAAAGGTGCTGATACAACTGTCTAGGTAGTTGAACTTCTGAACGACTTCTAGCTAATCTCCACAAAGGGTCTGCGCAGGAGGCGGTCCCTGCTAATCTTGGAGGAACGCTTAGCACTTCTAGGATGCAAATCATAGCCCGAAACGGCTGACAGCCAGTGCTGATCTGTTCCGTGTTTCTTGGCACATTTGTGAGCTGTCACACACGAGGGCAATGTCGTCAGCGTACTCCAAGTTTAGTCGTTCAACTGGGAGCAACTGCACACCTTGCAGATGGTGTCCAGTGGACGCTGTCTCCATGAGTTCGTCAATGGCGAAGTTAAACAGGAATGATGACAACAGACAACATTGTCTCACACCGCTGGAAATATTGAAGGGCGGTGACAGCTTGCCGTTAGCACTCGCTCTGCACCAGCTACGCACGTATAACACTCGGATAATGTCTCTTGGGCACACCATTCCTGAGCAGACAGTCTCAAAGGGCACATCGATCAACCGAATCGAAGGTACCTTTGATGTCGAGAAACACGACTACGATGGCTCGCCAATAAATATGGCGGCGCTCCAACAATTAACATGATTTGAAGGTGTGATCAATACAG